CCCCAAATTGAGGCCGACCATGAGGACTCACATAAGTGGCAGCCAGCACAGAGCAGGACACATAGAGAGCGTTGCGCGGAGCCGTCTCGTGGTTCTCGTTCTGAATTGTGACGAAGACCTGCAGCAGCGTCAGTACTGTCAACAGCAGGCAGATGAACTGGTCAGGGCAGAGATAGATGAAAGAATATAGATTTAAGATTTAAGATTTAAGATAACACTTTATTATCCCAGAGGGGAATTTTTCGTGGCTGTAAAAGACCGTAAAAACACGTGTAAGAATACATTAAATTTAAATTATATATTACTCTCAGTAAAATTCAATATGAAAAGAGAAGTAAAGCTGAAAAAAATGTACGTATCACATCAGATGCATCATTCAACCACATGCAGGAATTTAGTTACAAGACCTTTGGAGCTCTATAGATACATACTCTAAAGAGCAATACACATGTATGTTTATTCGGACAACAGCCTTATGCTGGATTGTAAAAAATGCCTTTTATATCTTTCTTTTTTTTTCTTTTTTTTCTTTTTTTTTAAAGGTACATCTGCTGTTGCGTGATCTGACAATTTACGTGGAAAGGGGGTGTGATGATAGAGGGCGGGGAGGAGGGGGAGGGAGAAGATGAGGGAGAGACAGAGGGAGAGACGAGGAAAAGTTGAGGGAGAGATGATTGGGAGATGGGGAAGAGATGAGAGAGAGATGGGGGAAACGGGGTGGAGGGGGAGGTGAAGGGGTAGGGGAAAACGGGGTCGAGGGAGAGGTGAAGGGGGGGAGTAGGTGAGTTTAGAAGGCATAAAAATTTGCAAGAAAATACCTATCATTTTCTTTTGATTAATATTATGTGTTTAGTTAAGTTTTTTAAAGAGTTGTACGGTTAGGAGCTGTTTACGTCATTTGCAACACTAATAGGCCATATCAGTACAGAAAGTTATAGAGGTAGGGGAGAAGAGGGAAAGGGGGGGGGAGGGGACCTTTTTCTTATTCTTTTTGTATTTATGTCACATAACAAGCATCATCTTTGAGTTTTGTTTACAGAAGGTTATACATATATTGTAAAATTACGTATTTACTTTCTTCTGTGTATCTCAGGTACCGGGAGTTTTCTTTAGTGTACTATGACTTGGTAAATGTCAATTATTGTGCAATTAATAGAATCATCTTAATTTTATAAAGTCAGGAGGCATACAAAACAAAATTGGTTTTCTTCAAAATCATACATAAGCGTCTTTTTTTTTAAAGTAGAGGGTTCTACGGGGTTCGTAACTGCATAAGGTCATATGAGCGCCAAGGGGTGGGTGTCAACAGAAAACACTTTAATGGGAATCAGGCTTACTCTGCTCACCTCCCTCGCTTCAACGGCACAAGGT